TGAACCATTTGAACCATTTGAATCCCATCAATGAACACTTTCAAAGATAAGCGTACTTTTCATAAGTAATTAAGGTTAAGGGACAAATATAGATCCATCAACCTACTGTCCTCATACGTGAGGATTGATAACTTGGGTTCTTGTCCGAACTACTGCTTTTCGAACGGGAAGTTTAGTCCTAACGTGATTTGCGTTTATCAAACTTTTGCTGTGTTCTTACGCAACAAAAGTACCATTTCAGTTCTAAAGAATCTATCCTGAGCTATACGTTCGGTAGATTACTTTTTTTTGAGTTTCACTATATTTAATAGTTACCTGTGGTTTTGCCTCAGCTTACTATTCGGTTTTTTTTGTTTTTCACGTATAGACTAGTTTCAGTTTATATCACTCGTTTTGTCCATTTTTGTCCGTTTTCAGTGTGCTTTTTAGTGTGTTTTTAAAAAGGTCTTAGGCTCTTGCAAGCATCTATAACATAGTTTGCTTCAACACCGTCATGAAAAACTCATGCAAACGTCCGGGATGCCGTTTTGCTGTCACAACTGGCATGCAGTGCGACAACTGCAAAGGTTGGTTCCACGAAGCATGCACAAATCTGACAGCAACTGCTTACAACAGACTCAGCAAGTCAGACCAAAAGTGGGTGTGTGTCACGTGCAACACAGACTCCGTAGTCTTGCTGAGTAACATCATTGTCCTACTGACATGTCTTCGGAACAAGTTGTCAGTTAACTCGGAAAACGATAGTAAAAAAACTGATATACAAACAAGAGCGTGCAACGGACTCAAAAATAGGGATGTCGATAGGTATTCCATCGATGGAGCATCCATCCACACTAACGACGACGTGTCGAGGCTCAGTACCATCATTACGTCGACGGTACTGAACTCCCTAGGCAAACTCGGGTCTCCCAGGTCAGGGTCCCCGAACACAACAGTGGTTGCCAAAAACCCTGCATGTGATTTGACCCACGTTAAGAGAGCCAAAAAGAACCAGGCATCACCGCCTAAGCCGAGCAACCCAAGTGTTGCTGCACGGAAAATAACTGGTAATTTAGTCGCACAGCCTACCCCCAAGACTCTTCGTCCGGTCAATAAAGAGCCCATGATTCATAAACGCACACTGACCTCCAAACAACAAGTTACTAAACCTGAACCCATCGTGAAACCTGGTAAATTAACAACAGTTCGTGACGACTCTCTCATTATCATGAACCTCGTTGACAATCCTGATCTTCCTCTCAGTCTGCAGGACAAAAACGACAGGATGCTCTGGGGTGAATTGAACAAGAAGCTCGAACTTCCTAGAATAGAGCCTTTGACGGTCACCCGGCTCACTCGAGGAAAGGATTCTAAGCATCTAAATCATCCGGGGCTTCTCCGAGTAACACTTAAGGCTGCTACCGACGTAGAGGACGTCTTGCTAGCAAGCCACTTGCTGAAATCAGATGGTAACGTAAGAATACTGCCCGACATACCGTACTCTGAGCGCAGTATCATACGAAACGTCCCTAAAGAATCTCGCGAGAAGTTTTTCCGCGGAAGAAACATAATTGTCCAAGGTATACCGGAAAATGTAGACCCTACCCAATCAAATTCTGACATCAGGGAATGGAAATTCATCAAACAGTCCTTGAGGCTCAAACACATACTGACTCAGCATGTGACGAGACTAGCCAAGAAGGACGGTGATCTTAGACCCCGTCTAATGAAGATAACCTTCCCATCTTCCCACATGGCGGCTGCAGTTCTGGAAGCATTTCGTGCTAATAGACGTCGATTGCCACCTGGAATCCACATGCACCCGGATAGGCCATACGAAGTTAGGACCAAGAACAAAGACAAGTTGGAGCTGACCATTCCACTTGTGGACTGTCTAAACGATAAAAAAAACGTGTAAAGGACAGGGCCTACCACCTCGGCAAACCTCACATAGGTGGGCTACCTGTCCATTCACATAAGGTTCATACAGAAAAACAGGACGAAGCTCACGCGTTCCAAATAGAAAGCATAAACTGCTTATATATGAACGCCGCGAGTCTACCAAACAAACTGGATGAACTACGTGAACTTAGCAACGCTAATAAGGCCCATCTGATAGGAATATCTGAAACCTGGATATCTTCTCAGTTCTCGGACCAAGAGTTAGCACTGCCTGGGATGACTTTGTTCCGCAACGACAGAAAAACAGGAATTGGGAGCGGAGTAGCCATATACATAAGCTCTTGCTTGGAGGTGCACCAGGTTCACAACCTCGAGTTTAACAATCTTGAGGAATCCATATGGTGCTCTGTAAGATTGTCTAGTACTTCCAGGTGTCTAGTCGGAGTCATTTACAGGAAGCCAACTGCCGACATCCAGTACGATAGTCGTATGCTGGAAGGACTATCCCGCTCTATCCGTCTCGGTTTCACACACATCCTGATTCTAGGGGACTTTAATCTCCCTAGAATCAACTTCGCGGAACACACGTACACTAGAGGCGACAACTCAACTGAAGCTGGGTTCTTCATCCTCATCGATAACTTGGGCTTATACGAAAATGAGAGGTCGGCAACTCGTTGGAGAAACAGTCAGACACTATCGCGCTTAGACTGTGTATTCACAAACGAAGAATTCCTAGTCGACAACCTCTCAATCCTGGCTCCTCTGGGAAAGAGCGATCATGCCGTCATAGCCTTCAGTTTTGTCATCAAAACTAAGCTAAGGTATCCCACCAATAATTTGCGTTGAAATTTTAAACGGCTGAATGTGCCAGCTCTACATGACTATCTACAACAGGTGGTTTTGGATGTTCACCCTCAACTCGATGTGGATGGTCATTGGGACTTCTTACTGCACACGCTCTTATGTGCTACAGACCATTCAGTTCCTCAAACGGTTCCCAAAAGCTGCAAGCCACCTACAGTAATCAAGAACCGTACCCTTCGTCTGCTAAGCCGCAAACGGCACTGTTGGGCGGAACACAAACGAACTAATAACGATGGAGCGTATAGGCAATACAAACATATCAGGAACACATGCACGAAGGCTTTAAGAGAAGACAGGCTTCAGTACCAAACAAAGCTTATGGACAAATTCGCCTCTAACCCTAGAAGCCTATTCCGTTATGCAGCCTCTCTTCGTCAAGCCAAAACAGGAGTTTCTCAACTGCTAGGTCTTAACGGCCCGACCAACAACGATGGCGACGCCGCTAACCTTCTGGCTGAACATTACTCCCAGACATTTCAACCGACCGACATTAACTTTACTGATGACAGTTTCATCTGCAATTCCACAGGACTTTCCGAAGTGGACCTAAGCGCTGACATGGTGTTCCAGAAATTGCAGCACTTAAGACTTGACACTTCTCCTGGCCCGGATATGGTTCATCCTGCCATACTGAGGGAAGCAGCCTCAATCCTGGCAACGCCGCTTAGCGTGATGTTCTCACACTCGCTAAGTCGAGGCAAATTACCGGAAAATTGGAAGTTGGCTCACATCACACCAATTCTCAAAGGTGGTCGACGCAATGAACCTTCAAGTTATCGGCCGGTGGCTCTTTTGTCATTACCTTCAAAACTCATGGAGTCCCTGATATGCGACGGTTTAAATGACTATCTACTGTCCTTAAATTTCTTCTCACCCCAACAGCATGGTTTCAGGAAGGGTTACTCTTGTATAACCAACCTGCTGACTGCGGTGGACAAATGGACAAGCATCCTCGATTGCAAGGGAAAGGTTGACGTTATTTACCTTGATTTCTCAAAAGCTTTTGATAAGGTTAACCACTTGTGTCTTATCAACAAGCTCAAACGATTGGGTATCAAACCACCTCTAATCGATTGGCTTACTTCATACGTAAAAAATCGACACTTTACGGTTAGGGTTAACTTCACTTTATCTCAGGCTATGGAATGTCCTAGTGGTGTTCCCCAGGGCTCAGTACTAGGGCCTCTTCTCTTCTTGATCTACATAAATGATCTTCCTCAACAGGTAACGTCAGACTTACTACTTTTTGCCGACGACGTGAGACTTTGGAGAGATATACGCAACGAAGACGATATACAGGCACTTCAGGAGGATCTGACGCGACTTCAAAGTTGGGCAGACGATAACGGACTTACCTTTAACACTTCAAAGTGTAAAGTGGTCCATCTGAGACATGTTGCAGACTACAGTTACAACTTAGGAAACTCCTCTCTAGTAGTATCCGAAGTCGAAAAGGATTTAGGAGTCCTGATGCCCCATGACTTAAAGTCTTACGCTAACTGTGACAAAAATGCCTTCCGAGCAAACCTTGCACTGGTAACGTTGAAGCGCATTTTCGGACAGTTTGACGGACTAACTTTCCTTACAATCTTCAATAGTTTCATCCGTCCCCATTTAGAGTACGGAAACATAGTACTCCTCCCCTCATTCCAAAAGGATAAGGACACCCTGGAGCGTATCCAACGGCGAGCCACGAAATCAGTTCGAGGACTCAAATCTAAGCCTTACGAAGAACGCCTCCGTTCACTAGACCTTTACCCACTAGAATATAGGCGTCTTAGAGGTGATTTATTAATGGCTTATAGTATTCTTAACACTTCTGGACATCCTCTTAAACACCTACTTAAGCTTAGTTCGAATAATAACCTAAGGGTTAACACCCAGAAACTGGAAACACAACATAGCAAAACGGAATGTAGACACAACTTCTACTCCTTAAGAGTTGTCAAAAGCTGGAATTCGCTGCCGGCCGAGCTAGTTCAAGCGACTTCTCAGGAGTCGTTCAAGAGGCAACTTGACCTATTCTTAAGGACCAAGGACAGCATCACATTATGATTTACCAATTTCTTTTCCTGTTTTATTGTTAACATACCTAGGTTCCTGCCTGGAGGGTTTGGTGATCCCCTGCTACTAGACACGGAAGCCTGTTAAGTGAAAGCTTCTTCTATTCCGTCCACAACCATTTGAACTATTTGAACCATTTGAACTGCTGATTAAATGTTTGTAGGTACTTTTCAGCGTCACCCAAGGACAACAGTCTGCGCGGAAAGTGGTTACTGCTTGTGAGGTAACTGGTTAGTCACTTAATTTACCCCATCCACTGGCTTCTCACCAATCATTCTTGTTTCAATCCGTAAATTCTTTCGTTTTTATTGTTTATTGTGGTATTACGCAATATCCATATACTTTTTTGTGTCTGACAAGTATTTCCTACAATCTAGATACAAATAAAAAAGGAAGAGTCATTTTCGTATACCTGGTGAAAAAGTTTGAAATTCAGATGAAAGAAATGAAATCGATATCTTGCTTGTTTACATATAGTTAGCGACAGGCTCTTGAGGTCATATGTCCATATGGGCATATGTGTTATATAACATGTGTTATCAGGCACCTTTTGTTAGAATGGAAATTGATATATTTCATTAACAACAAATGGCTTCACGACTGATAAAAAGCATGCGTGTTCACGTCTCTATTTACGGATAGTTCGTGATTTGGAACAAAGTACCATAGTTATTCATATTTCTTCATAAACCCTCAATTTTGGGTTTTTTTTCAGTTTCAGTTTGGAAAAAACAAGAGACTTGATGGTCTGTGTCAGTCCTGAAAATGGTAGTCTCTCAGTCGATCCAACTTTCTTTTGAAAGAGTCGACAGATAGAATCTCAACCCCATGCTGAGTTAGTAAATTCCACTCGTTGATGATTCGATGGGAAAGTCGATAGTCAGCTGACAGGTAATTTGTTCTGGGCTTGTGAACATTTTTGGAGTGTCTTCGTAAATTATCTGTTTTGGGAGACAAGGGAAATGAGGGCATAGCAGGTGCAAATTTTGTACGCGCTATTTAAAAAGGACAGTGGTATTCTTTCTCGTTGAGTTAATTAACTGTTTTGATCGTAAATTACGCATCAAAACTACTGTTTACACTTTAATTGCATCTACCCCAGTTAAAGTGATATTTTATTGAGTTTTTCGATTTTGCTTCTGTGTATTTATTGCATCGAAGCATACTTGGTCGACTTTTACTTGGTTTATTTAGTTAAGGTTTGGAAATCCTTCTACATATCCTGTTTTCGTCACCGTTCTAGTTGATTTTCAAGATGGCTAGGTCTACTCATAAATGTGGACAACCATACTGCTTATTTCCCGTGGATGAAGGGATGCAATGTGATGAGTGTAATAAGTGGTTCCATAAGATGTGCACCCGATTAAGCCCCACTGCATATAAAAGGTGTTCAAAGCCCAACTCTCATTGGCTTTGTAGTTTTTGTTGCTCGAGCAAAACATTGCTTATCCAGGAAGCAATTAGTCTCCTGGTGTTGGCTAATAAGAAGGTTGATGAGGGCTGTACTGATAACATTGGTACGGATGGCGAAGATTGCGTTAGTGTCGTAAGTGCTATCACGGCGCAAGCCAGACATCTACCTGTGCAACCCACAGTTAAACGTTCTCCCCGAAACGATCAGTGAGTGACACGTCATTAGACGTTGGTGGCCATATTGCTTCAGCAGCAACCGGTGACCCAGATAAAACAATTACTGTCCCGAGTTGTTCTAATGTAGACGTTTCGACTGATGGAAAATGGATGACGCGAAAACGCAGAAGAGTAGGAAAGATAGCTAAAACTAATGACTGTTTACTTGGTAAGTCTTTGGTGGACTCTCAGACCAATCCGCCAAAGTCTCATAGTAAAGCTTCGTCTGACATTGTTGTGAGTCATTCGCCTGACTCCCAGGACTCTGTTAAAATAAAAACTAATCGTAAGCTACCAGTAGTTAAAATACAGGATCTAACGTCACGGTCGAAAGCTGTGAACACAGTTTCAAAAGAAGCTAAACCCATCCCTAGTTTAATTATTTGGAATCTAGAGGAGTCGAAAGACAACGACCCTGTTAAAAGACACGCACATGACCTACAGTTAGTGGAGTCTGTGGTCAGGAATGTACTACCTGAAGAGGTTTCAGGGGTACATATTACAAAAGTAATACGACTTGGTAAATGGGTTGGAGGCGAGACCCAACCAAGAAGGATCCTGAAGCTGGTTCTCGGGAGTTTCGAAGAAAGAGACATATTATTGAAAAGCGCACAAAAAACTCGTGCCTCAAATATCCGTATTCGACCAGATTGGCCGCTTGAGGATCGAATCAAGTGGAAGAATGCTCTTACGGAGTTGAGGACCCGCAAATTAAATGGCGAAAATAACCTTACCATTAAGGGTTTTCGGGTAGTCAGGTCTTGGAAGCCAATGCTTCCGAGGCCTGTATGGGTAGAACGATTGATTGCCAAAATACCTTAAGTGTGTGCTACACGAACGCTCGTAGTCTTAGAAATAAAACGTCCGAGCTAAGTCTGATGGTGCAAGAATTATGTCCCGATATAATCGTTGTTACAGAAACTTGGTTCACCGTTGATATAGACTGTTCTCCTTTCATTGCTGGTTATATCTGTATCAGAAGTGATAGAGTTTCGAGTCGCAAGGGGGGAGGTATAATATTTTACGTTAGGGATCACTTTCGTATACAATCAACCATATCGGAGGCTCATATCAGTGGCACATGTGAGGTTGCATGTTGTAAGATTAAATCTAGAAATGGGTTAGTGACTATAGGGGGAATATACCGTAGTCCGTCTTGTCTGGCTGACGACTTTATCCTAAGACACATCTGTTCTTGGAGTATGGCAGAATGTTGTCTCATCATTGGGGACTTCAACGCACCGCATATCAACTGGATAGAGCTTACAGCTCCAGGTAGCGGTTTCGATAGTGACCTTTTATCTACCGTTATTCAGTGTGCACTTGTACAATGTATCACAAAACCGACACATATTGATTTGCATCATGTTCCGTCACTGCTGGACCTCGCCCTCACCCACCACTCTGAGGATGTCTTTGATATCCAGCACCTTCCTCCACTAGTGAACAGTGATCACGTTGTAATTCACTTTAAGTTTAAGACACATGGTATACAATTCGTATCTGCTCCACCCCGTCCCAATATCTGGCGAGCTAATATTCCGGAAATCAGAAACCGTGCTATCTCGACTGATTGGTCGGTCGACGCGGATGGATTGATCGAAGATGAATGGAATAAGTTTAAGGCTACATTCGAGTCCGTAACGTCGCCGTTTATCCCATGGTCAGCACGTAAGCTATCACATTGCCCTCCATGGATTAATAAGGAAACCCGGAAGCTGTTGAAGCGTAGGAAACATTTCTGGGACTTATTCTTGTTGACAGGTCATGCACCATTTAAGCGTGAGTATCAAAAATACCGTAATATCTGTAAGAAAACCATAGCGAAATCCCGTACCACTTACGAACGACAGTTAGTATATGATAGCCGTACTTGTCCGAAACGACTGTTTTCGTATGTTAAACGGCAAATGAAACGTAGTGATGGTATTCCCCCGTTGCTGTTACACGAAAATTCAGAATTACTAGCTGAATCAGATCGAGCTAAAGCTGAGACTTTTTCAGATTATTTTAGCGAAGTCTTCTCTACGTTTATTGTAACAAATCCTTGTCCCATTCACACCGAGATACCAACCATTGAATCCGTACAGGTGACTGAGGAAACTGTCCTTCCGTTGATAACTAACCTCAAACCTGGTAAGATACCGGGCCCTGACGGGTTACATCCACGGTTGCTGTCATCTCTTGCGGACATTATTTCGAAACCGCTTGCGACACTCTTCAACATGTCCCTCTCACTCGCCCAACTCCCTAGAGATTGGAAGGACGCTATAGTTAGTCCTATATTTAAGGACGGTCAGCGACAGATAGCATCTAACTACCGGCCTGTCAGTCTAACTAGCATAGTCGTTAAGTTACTTGAAAAGATAATTCGGGTTAGGTTGCTAAGCCACATAGATTTACACAATCTGTTAGCTCCTGAGCAACACGGATTTCGTAACAAGCGTTCATGCTTGACTAACTTGCTTATTGCGAGGGAGGATTGGACAGCAGCCCTAGATAACGGTCTGTCTGTCGACGTGATATTCATAGATTTTAGCAAAGCGTTTGACAAGGTTTCACACGTAGGTCTTATGCAGAAGCTCACGAGCTTCGGAATACTAGGTACTGTACATGAGTGGATAGGAAATTTCTTATGTGACCGCAGACAGAGAGTTAGGGTCAATGGAACGCTATCCGATTGGAAGCCGGTCAAAAGTGGTGTACCCCAAGGCACCATCTTAGGCCCTCTGCTCTTCCTTCTCTACGTTAATGAGTTACCACTGTTACTTAGGTCGTCGACATTATTGTTTGCAGATGATGTAAAAATCTGGAGAACAATAAAAAGTGCGGCTGATCGTGTGGATCTTCAAGCTGATTTAGACGATTTAGTTAGATGGGCTCGAGAGTGGGGTTTAGAAATTAATGCTAGGAAGAGTGTACTAATGCACGTCGGTCACGGTAATAGTTACCGTTACACTATTGAGGGTAAACCTCTTCCATGCGTTCAAGAGCATAAGGACTTAGGAGTAATATTAAGTCATGACTTAAAAACAGCTGCGCATTGCAAAGCAGCCGCTGTCAAAGGTTTTCGTGCGTTATGGTCACTTCGCCGAGCGTTCAAATCTTTTGACGAGGAAACGTTTCGAATTTTATATCCCATATATGTTAGACCACATTTAGAGTACTGTATCCAAGCAGCTAGCCCGTGTCTGGTAAAGGATACTAACTCCCTTGAGCGTGTCCAGCGTGTGGGAACGAAATTAGTGAAGTGTCTTTCTAGTCTCCCTTACGATGAGCGCTTAAAACGCCTAAATCTTTTCCCCTTGTCGTATCGTAGGACACGAGGTGACCTTATACTGGCATTTCGTATCTTTAATTATGATTTGGGTGTTAATATGTCTTATCTTCTTGCTCCCTCCAGCACTAATAATCTCCGAGGTCATAGCAAGAAGCTTCATAAACCACGATCTAATAAACTTAAAGTGGGATCCCGTTTTTCTCATCGAGTAGTCAATCATTGGAACGCCTTACCCGAACAAGTGGTATCAGCCCCATCAGTGAATACTTTCAAGGAAAAGCTGGACCTTCACTGGAAAGCAATGTGTCAGGATTAACACAGGTTCATCAACCTACTATCCTTATTACTGAAGACTGAAGACTGAAGACTGACTGAAATTTATCACTAAGCAATTTGAAAATTGTGATCAAGTCGCCTCTAGTTCTACGATATGACAATGGGAATAGTTTTAGCTTGGCCAGTGAAGCATCATACAGAAGCTTTGCTATTCCGGGAATCAGCTTAGTTGCTGTACTCTGAACCTATTCCAAAAGCTGACTGTCTTTTTTAAGTAGGGGCTAGCCGCTTGTATGCAGTACTCAAGTTTAGGACGTACGAACACTGCATTGCTTGAGATATTAAGATGAAATATTTTACGGAATCTGCAACAACGTGGTTTTTTCAGTCTCATGGGTCATGTTTCACGGCTGTTTCAATTGCCGTGTAGCGGTTGTTGGCTTCGGTCTAGCTCTATTTTCAGTCTTCAGTAATAGTTTCATTTGGTTAGTGGATCTGTGTTGATGCTTACAGTTTGTCTTTTAATGAAGTTTCAGCCTTTCTTTAAAGACGTTCATTGATGGGGCTAATATCACTAGTTTGGGTAAGGCATTTGAGTAATTGACCACACAATGAGAAGAACGGAATCCTACTCTGCGTTTATTAGATCACGGGTTTTGAACCTTCTTGTTATGTTGTCGAAGATTATTAGTGCTGGATGGAGCAAACAGATAAGAAATATTAACATCCAAGTTGTAATTAAACGCCACCTGACGTTCTACAAAACGATAAAAAGAAAAAATTTAGATGTTTTAAGCACTCCCCTTAAGAGAGTTTCGAAAGACCCTTCCACAATTTTGATCCCATGACACACCAAAACCTTTGGCAGCTGTTGCATTGCAATGCATAGTTGTTTACAAGTCATGAATTACCATTACCCATAAGTCTTTGAGGTCCTACACGCATGGAAGAGATGTGCCGTCATTAATATACTGGTTACTACTTTCGTGTTCAATGAGCATAAGCCCACTCTTTCTTGAATTGGTTTCTAGGCCCTACCATTTGGACCACCTAACTAGTTAGTCTAGGTTAGCTTCGGGAGAAAAATAACCAGCCTTATTCTTAATTGTCTTCCAGATTTTGACATCATCCGCAAATAACAATGTTGATGAATTAAGCAATCGAGAGTAATTTATTGATGTAGAGAATGAAAAGTAGGTGACCAAAGATGGTGCCACTTTTAACGGGCTTCCGTTTACACAGTGTCCCATTTACCCTCACCCTTGTCTTCAGCCCTATAAGAAGTTGTTTATCCACTCTTGTACAGCACCTGCTATTCTGAAGCTCGAGAGTTTCTTTACAAGACCTAGATGAGAAAGCTTTTCGAATACTTTGCTAATGTCCGTAAATGTCACATCGACAGACATGCAATTAGTTAGGGCTTATGTCCAAACCTTGCTCGCAATATTTAAGTTGGTTGAGCGTGAATTCTTGTTTTGAAACCCGTGTTGCTCGGGAGTCAACAGATTGAATGGTTCCATGTAACTTAATAACTTAACTTAAATTGCCTTTTCAAGTATATTAACTACTATGCTGGTCAGACTGACAGCTCGGTAGTTAGATACGATCTGTCACTGACTATCCTTAAGTATAGGATTAACCAGCACAGGTTCTATAGCTGGTATCTCTGAGCTTTTGTTATAACAATTATTGTTAACAATGACGTTAGTTTAAGCTTCTCTGAAATAGTTTGATAAGGTCCCAGCTTTGGCCAGATCTGATTTAGCCGATATATCTGAATTTTCGTGCAACTGTAGTGTAATGTATGAAAAAGTCGTTTTGAGCAATTAAGGCTAACATATACCAACTGTCTTTCGAAAATGGTACGACATCCAGCTATGGTCTTTTTACATATATCTTCGTGCCAAGTTTCCCAGAGGATAAATATTTTACGCTATAAAATCACGTAACTTAGTAAACCGAATCTGTCTTCGGACCAGTTCTTAGAACCTCAGAGTAACGTTTCTTTAAAGTTCACCTATGTGATTTATTCGTTAACATTCTTTAACTTCTATCTGGAAATAATTTATACAATACTACATTTACCACTTACTTTTATACTGTCAAAGTAATAATGTTTATCCCTCTTCCTTCTCAATAACTATTTATTCATGTATTTTGATGTGATTTTTGACGTCACAGCGTTTTTTATTAGAGCGTTTATTGTATTATTTATTCAACTATAAGGGTGCTAGTTTTCGTCAATTTTGAGTTTGATATGGATGTGCTAGTTGCCGTCGCCCCTACTCACAGTTGCTTCTTGGCTTGATCACACATAATTGTTATTTTCTATTTTATTGTTATGTGGTCGGGCATGCCTGCATATACACTACGCTTGCTTGAAATGTAATATTAGTGGAGGCTGATTGCTGATTCCCGGATTCAAACTGCAGGGCAGAAAGAGAAGCTATGGAATCGTGGATCAGTAAGATCTTGGCAGTTGACTCAAGGTTACTAGTACTTGTTGGACGTATCATTGGTTAACACAGGGACACTAAATCATAGAAACTAGACTCTGATTGTTGGCTTTGTCACATGATATCAGTAGGCTACCATAAGTCATAACAGGTAAACCAGTATGTCCTGGATTTCAACCTTAGATGTAGAGTTCTAGGTAAAAGTAGTAGGACGTTTATTAATTTTTGTCTACGTAGGAGCTTGGAGCCTACATAATACTCGTAGTGAATGGTTGGAGGCTTTGAGTAAGATGACGCAAAACCTCTCAATGATGCAGTTATATCCACTGTCCATCATCCAAATCTGGAGTTGTGGAAAATTCCCAAAGTTTCATTCTTTGGTCGTATTTTTATTTTCGAGTCATTTTCTTCTTACCAAAAGTTTCATTACTTTTTGGTGTTGTCTCCCATTCTCTCTCTGTCATTTTGTTGATTTTTTTTCAATGTTCTAATGTAAGGTAGAGCAGATTAGACGGATTCACAATTGTTTCAGTCCATAAGTTTGTGATAGCTGACTGATACTAATCGAACTAGGTAGTCTAAAAATTCGTCAACCCAGGCTATGTTGAATAGAATAGAAGTAAACTAAAAAAGTGGGGGGACCTGGGACAGGTCATAGACTTCGCTTATAGTTTTACTAACTGTTGTTATAAGCCGTGTCAAGAGGGTCCTCAATACAGCTGTAATATACAACCATAGAGTTAGTGATATTGATGAAATTGATTTCAGTGAAGGAGATCTGGTCATTGATTGCTTTTACTGAAATGTTAAATACGGGATTGTTCAATAAATTTTATTCTCTGATTCCGTTCGTTTCAACTGATTTTTTTGTGCTCATTTACAAAGAAAAGATAGAATATGGCTACCGGTGGAATCCCTCTGTTCTCAGTACATGTTAAACATTTGCTTTTCTTATCACTTTGTTTCTGAAGCTTATGAAGTAGTACCTCTACATCTTCGTGCTAGGCTAACGTTTTTGATATTTATTTGTTGATGTGCGTTTTCGTTTCCTATCTATACTCGTTTTGCATGATGTACTACTACTAATTCCATCCAAAATATAAATCATAACCACTCTGTAATCTTTGACTTTTATTTTAAATAATTTTAATGTCAGTGGATTTCAGTTCAAGGAATTAGATATTTTGATCGACTTTGAATTGTCACCTCCTATGAATCATACAAGGGCTTTACACTTTGTTTTCAAAGTGGCCAATCGTAATGAAACAGTTGATTTTTACAAACGGATTCTTGGAATGAAGGTATGTTAATGTATGCACTCTAGATGAAAACAAGTGTATATATATATATGCGTGTATGTAAGTGATAATAGTGCAAACTTTAGCTGGTTTTGCTTTATTTTATTGATGTTTAGTTGAATAATACATTTTTTTCAATAGTCCACAAGTTCACTTGACTACACTTCTTCCAATACACACACAAAAGAGCTTAATTATTCGATAAATGTATAAATGTTTTTCTAAGCATTTTGAGTTTGTTAGCTCAAACGATTATTCACAATAATTTTTTATCATTTCGGCCAAATATTTTCTATACACTAGTTTAAAAATATTTAAGTGATTTTGAGTTTGAAAATTTCTATGGATTCATGTTAACTAGATAATGTTACTTACTTACTTACTTACGCCTGTCACTCCTCGTGAAGGAGCATAGGCCTCTTACCACCATTCTCCATCCAACCCTTTCCTGGGCAATCCTTTCCAGCTCCTTCCAGTTGTTATTCATCCTTTCTATATCTGCTTCTATTATCCGACGTAATGTGTTATTTGGCCTTCCTCTTTTCCGCTTCCCTTCAGGATTCCAAGTTAGGGCTTGCCTCGTGATGAAGTTTCATAATTTGCGGAATGTATGTCCTATCTATTTCCATCGTCTTTTCCTAATTTCTTCTTCAGCTGAAAGTTGTTTTGTTCTCTCCCAGAGAAGGCTGTTGCTGATGGTATCCTGCAACTAGATGATGTGCTATTTTGTAAAACTTTACATCATAAATACTACTATTTTTCAATTAATTCTACATTGAAGCTATAGAGATGATATTTTGTATAGTGATAAAACTTATATCAACCAAAATATCGGTTAGAAATGTGACCTAGTGTTAGTATATTGGATTTAAAAAAATATTGATAAAGATAATATAAGTGTCCAGTCTTTTTTAACTTTATATTACTACTTATATAACAGAAATTGGATAAAAGTAAGAGGCTCCATAGAACATAAATATAATGATCAACAAGCTTAGTATCTTATGGTTTGCAATTAGTAAAAAGAATTAGTCACTTACTGAAACTTGCCTGGTTTCTTCTAATGTAGTTCAATTGAAACTGTTAATCTCAAAATCGAAACACAACACGTTTCCCCATGAAGTTTGTAACATTTTAGTTAGTGGTATAATTAGTTTTTCTGTAGTTGTGTAAAATTCAGGCTATTAGGGCAAAAATTATCATATGTGGAGTAATTTTGTTCATCTCTATCAACGAACTTCATTTTCGAAATTGTCAGTGACTTTCCTGTCATTTAAGGTAAACCATGAGATGAGTAATAATGAAGTTAGATGTGGTGTATAAGGTAAAGATGATTATTCAGTGGATAAGACTTTAATTTGTCGTCGACTAGGTTGTCTAGGATAGGAGTTGTATGTAACTATTCTCTTTATTGACGCACAATGGTGGCTAGTAAAGGGTTGTTTTCATAATTCATTAGGAGCGCCGAAAGTAAAATATAGCTGTATTTTCGGTTAGAACTGTATATATTGCTTAACTTCTAAGCATTAGGGTTCGATGAAATGCCATACTTCATTCAACAAAGCTTTTTTATTTTTCACACACCCGAAAATGTTTTGGCGAATATGTTCTTCATTAGAGAAGAATTAAAAATAACTTTTGATTAGAATTAAGGTCGATGTAACAAAAGCCATATTTCTTCTTGAGATATTTATAATTGATAAATATAGTATTCATGTAATCCGTATTCGTTTAAAGGCTGCATAAAATTGAATACTGTATGATTTGATCACTAGTGAATAACACGTAGATTGGAACTGAATTACCATAATAAATACTAACTATGTTGATCCAATTATATGTTTACTCTTAGAGAGAATAAATCTAATGAAATGTTTATACTAAATAAAAAGTATGAAAAATAACGGTTGATTGTAATTTGACGGCTTCTCTTGTCAAAGTAGCTAATGAAATGTAACTAAAATTTGTGTGACTATTTTGTGGTTGAAGTGAGTATGAAACGCGGACAGTGACCAGAATTTGAGCGTCTAAGCCAATACGATATCAACTAGGAAGTATATTTTCCTATATTCAGACGCTTATTATTGGTTTGATCACGTGTTACAGTCTACCCACATCCTTCTGGCTAGTCTAAGTGTTGGTTGTGCCGTATGTGCTATTATTGTCGATAGATATAAGTAGTATATATCATTTATCGAAAGTGGAATGACTGACGACAGAAGGTTGAGAAAATCGAAGCGAAGAGAGAATTTGGTATCGAAACAACCAAACAACCAAGTCAGAGACAGTTGACGAGTATTTTGCAAATGAGGTTTTGCTGTATGGTTCTCAGGTTTTACCAAGATATTCTGTAATATTATGTTAAAATACATTTGGTTTTCCCCACTTAAGTTCTCGTTCACTACAGTTGCTTAAATCTCTCGATGACTCATTCGCTTTCCTATATATATGTGCTTCTAAAATCTTATCAATTCACTCGCCCCTAGTTCGCACTCACTTTCATTCGCATTCCTGCTCGCACTCACTTTGTGTGACTGTGGCTTTAGGATATGAGCTGTACAGTGATAAAATATAGTCGATGCTTCGCATTGTCTTCTGAAATGTATATACAATCGGGATTCATCAAACAATGGTTGTCGCGACTAGTGATCTACGAAGCCTTAAGAATTATCTTGAAAATAATTTTCGTACTGTAGTTATACTTGCTTTTATTTAAAACAAGGATGATATTAAGTTTGTCAATTAGCAAAACGACCCTCTTTTCCTGACATAACTGTCATTAATCGAAACCGGCTGAAAAACTAGGTACTTGACTATTAGATGTTATAGTCTAGCCGGTAAAGAATTACGACTACAAATTGGGTCTTATTAGTTCTTTAATTTCATTTTGGATCCATAGGTAAATGGATCTAAGAGTTGAGGTTATTCTATATGGTATGATGGCTGAAATATTTTTTCATAACTTGATCATCATTTGTTTCTTATTTACTTGTTGCTTGATCACTTCGCAGGTGTTACGACATGAAGAATTTACTGAAGGTTGTAAAGCTTCATGTAACGGGTAATTAACCTTAATCAATATTGATTCACATCATTCATTTAGACCATATGATGGGAAGTGGAGCAAAACCATGATAGGTTATGGACCTGAGGATAATCATTTTGTTGTTGAATTGACTTATAATTATGGGATTGGTGCTTATCAACTTGGTAATGATTTCCAGGTGCGTTTTTTGTCTGTTTCATCTCTCCTAAATGATAACAGTATATTCTTATTCATAATAAGGATGCATATTCAAGAATTATCGGTGGATCATGGCCTATCACATTGAAAGAGTCGAATTCAGTAAAAGTGGAAGCTCCTGGTGGATATGTATTTTGGGTGCATAACAGTGATAGTAACGGGGATCCAGTTCAAATGGTGGCTTTATCTACTTCAAATCTCAAACGATCCATTGGTACGCTGTATTTCTATTCTCCTTCCTAAAAAGTTTCTTCTATTATTATACAGATTATTGGTCTCATAAACTTAGTATGACACTTGTGTCATCTAGCTCAGATGAAGCGGTGTTTTGTTATTCACCAAATCAGTGTAGTTTAAAACTAATTTCCATTCAAAAGCCCATTGATCATGCCAGCGCATTTGGTCGTATAGCTTTTGCATGCCCCACTAGTCAAGTAACACTTATTTTAAACATAATTCATAATTTATCAATAGTTACCAATCTTACAACAAACAATGGATTCACAAAATGAAACGATTCTTACTCGTCTAGTCAGCTTGGATACGCCAGGAAAAGCTACTGTACAAGTGATTATTTTAGCTGATCCAGTAGGTTTATTCTTTTGTTGATTTGTATCACTTTTGTACAATTGAAGCTGTTGGGCAATTTCCATAATTTCCTAATTGTTAACTGTAATAATATATCTTCTTTATACCTGCCAGTACGTTATAGTAGGTCTTTAGAGGACAATTCAACAAGATTAATGAGAAAATGTAAATCGTACGTGATAAAGTTGTGGTGATGCCAAGTATGTAGACTGGGATTTTAGGCTTTTGATTTACACAAAGCAGTATGCTTAATAAGAAGGTGAGAGTATATCAGCTCGACTTTCTAATTAAACTCAGATGCAATCTAATGGGCCAATGGATGGAGTTATCATTAGGCGAAAGACAGAAGATAAGGAAGTTTAACTCGAAATCTGTAACTTTGTAATTCTAATGTGTTGGGTTTACTAAGATACAAATAAACATGGACTATCTTTACAGTTCAGTAGCAACAATACATAAAATGTTGAAAAAACAAGTTGCAACATAATTTGGGGATATTTAAGAACTACTGGCTTACCAAGTTTGATCGTAACTCCACAGGTTATTCCAGTTGTAAAGTTAGGTCGCTCAATGTTTATGCGAACCTGAGTCAATTAAAATGGCTTACATATACGTTATGCATGGTGGGTAATTGCCTGATTTTGAGTGAGCAACACTTATGTTTTACAAGAAAATCACAGATAAAGGAAGTATGTCAGTTGTTGACTAAGTAGATCAGTGATTAAATAATCAAATCGTTCGACTTTAAGCCACATAGTCGCGGGTCCGAACTCCGCTGAACGTTTTTCAGTTTAGTCGAACAGTCAGTGTCACTAGCCCTCACACTTATATTTGCTATCAAAGCCAAGTACATGAACTCATAATTAATAAATAATTAAGTAGAAAATACTAACAAATGTATGACTTAGTGGATTTGGCTTGAATGAAATAGAGGGAACGCGTCTAGCCTGTATTTAGCCATTGTTTATCTTACACTGGTATCATAACAAAAGTAGTTACAGTTTATCCATAAAAAGGGGAAACTTGCAGTAGAATAGAGGAAATTTGAGCTCCATGGCAGTCAACATCATTGTACAAATTGTTTTTTTCGTATACACGACTTATGACTCATTTGATGTTTTTTTATTTATTTACTATGCTTGATTCGACTGTTCATTGTGCAATTTTTCGAAATCTTACTCTGTTATTCAGTTGTTTAACAAATTGGACGTCTATAATTATGATGTTAACTATAATCACAATCTATCTAATTTAGCTCATGCGATAGGATAGTGTCGTTAGCCCATCATAAAATGAATGTGATGTGTGGTATTGGAAGTAAGATATGATTGGTCGTTGAGAGTGAACGAGCAGCCACAGCCTACGAACTATTAAATATGTGATCTACCTTCTTGTCATTGATTTCTACTCCAAACTCATTGAGTGTGACTGTTTGTAATTGTATTAGATAAAGTGTTATCTAGTGTTAATTTGGTTCTCTATTTTGGGTCGTGAATCTTGGTTCCGATAAAACGTGATTAGTATTATTATCATCGTGTTAACGTATCCTCATAATATATGTGAGAGAGAAAAAAAGTTGTTTTAAACCATCCATTATACCAGAGTTTCACTGCTATTTGACTTTGTACTGAATTTAGTGTGGATCTTCTTTTCTGTTTACTTAATTACCTCTTATTTAGGACGGTCATGAAATCTGTTTTGTTGGAGATGAAGCTTTTAGACAGTTGTCACAAGTGGATTCACAAGCGGATAATCTACTACAATCAGCTATAGCCTCAGATAAAAGTGATGAATGGTTCAATAAACATGGTGGCAAGACAACGAAATAAAACGATCGTTTTCAACTCATTGAATCTTGTGTTTACGGTATCATGAATTGTTATGTGTGGAATGTCTGATTTTTTTATTGTTTATTTCTCTCCAATAATATACAATTTTATACAACATTCTCGTAGATTATTTAAACAACCATTCATTGGATAGTAAGATATAATTTTTATACCGTAAAATGTATTTAGGCTCAATGTGTAGTTTCGATCCAGTTGAAAACAATTTAAAATATACGTGGAAATCCTGAATTCAAAACTTATATATGTTACCATTGAGCAAACGTTGACATGAGTTTTCATAGAATTTGACAAAGGGAAATTAACGGAATCAATATATTGACATAACACTGATTGTTGTGGTAAATACTCACCTATTTTCAGTCGGACAAGAAGGTTTACGATAATATTGCAAACAGCACATAATAATGAAATATGTCATTAGTCAGTAAATATACTTACACACTTACAGACACACACACGCCCGTTACGCTTCGTGTAGCATAGGTCGTCGACCAGAATCCTAAAACCAAATCTTTCTTAAGCTTCCCTTTCCAGTTTTTGGGATGTGCTATTCATTCTTTAGATAATTGTTTCCAATCCACGGCACAGTGTTCTTCAAGGTCAGAGGAGAAGAGGAAGACCAAAGAACACAATACGCCTAGAAATGTAGGCAGGTATGAGAATAATGAACAATAATTGGATAGAAATAGAAAGGAAGACCCAGAAAAGAGTCGGTTAGAGAACGCTGGTCGGCAGTCTATGCTCCATTTGGAGTAGCAGATGTCAGTAAGTAAGTAATGTTCTTCACTGTAGGGATGCTGCACTTACTTTTCTAGTCTATGACTTCAAATCTGCATCCGATCCTCATTGTTTACCATTGATACTGCTCAGGTAAATGGAAGTTTTCACCTCTTCCATAGCTTTTCCAAGTGTGATTGGGTTGTGCTTGTTGTGGCCTATTGATGCAGAGGCTGTTTGTAGAGTGGCTTTCTTCACCTGCAATTGTTGCTCTGTATGAGGTATAAGAGCTAGGTTATCTACCAAGTCCAAATCGTCTAGTCGCATCCTACCTGTTTATTGTATTCACTGCTCCATCTGAGATACTCAGGTCTTCATAATGCAGTCGACCACTAGAAGAAAGAAAAGAGTTGAGACTAGGTAACCTTGTCTGACTTCTATCGTCACTTGGACTGGATCTGTCAGCCGTCGTCTGTGCACGAATGTCGTCCGTCGTATGAATTCCGGTTGAAGTTGACGATTTTCCCAGGTATACCATAGTGTCGGAGATGGTTCCATAAGGTTCTCCTATCCACGATGCTAAACGCTTTCTCACAGTCAACGAAGTTGATGTATAGTGACGAGTTCCATTCAATTAACTGTTCAATGATGATCCGCAATGTTACGACTTGGTCTGTGCGCGATCGATCCTTACGGGATCCAGCCTGTTGATCTGGAATACGGCCGTCTACTGGATCTTTCATTCGGTTTACCAACATTGTTGAAAAAAATATATATATTAGTGTGGAGCCATAATGAATAACTTGTGGAAAGTAAATATTTCTGTCTTTTTATATTCTTCTAAATGTCTAAATTGAATTCTCTCTTCGTTGAGTTTTTTTTATTCACCTGCCCTCAGTACCAGTTCATCTGAATTCATGTAAAATTTTGAATGAAGATAAGTTTCTATAACTGACTGATTTGATGTTCAACATCAGAACTATTGACTGATATCCATTCACATCGTTTTCACATTCTCTGCAGTTATGACTTCAAATTAATATACATTGAAACGATTCACAAATTACGACAAATACCCTACACCCATACTTCATAAATAAAAAATCTAAATGGATTAACATTGATAAATCTAATTCATGAGTTAATTGAAAAGTGTTGTGAACACTTTTTGTTTGTCGGAAATAATCAATAAACAAAGAAAATAGATTAAATCAAGTGCGCGCCAAAATAGAAAGCTCATTTAAATGAATTTAAATGTTTAAACAATAAGCAATTTTCATTAGAAATCAAATCATGTTCAATGGTTAATGTTTGTATTCAAAAGAATATTGACTATATTTAGCTTAGCTTACCATTAAAGCACATTTGCTGCTGAGTCCACAGTTGCGTGAACATAAACTCAATGAATAGAATAAGATTATAAATATTAAGGTGAAACGTTAACCATGTAGAACTGTGATGGTGATGATGATGATGAATATCAGACATTATCTCGTTTATGCAAGAACATTATTCGTAGTAAATAACTGTTGTTTTGTAGTTGGAATTCTGTACATGAATATCTAGACAAACACATCATGAATTGGCAAGGCGAACTATGTTCTAAAAAGTTTGTGATTTACATTTAATGAAATTACAGATTCGAGATTCACTATTGTTAAATAAGAAAGAATGATTAATTCAGCGAAGAGTTCTCTTTTCGGCGAATTCATTTTCAAAGCTGTACAATCGCAAATATATATATACTTATTTTTACAGGGTGATAATAATAATACTGATAATAAACTTCTGTTATACATGGTGACAGTGAGGCTAAATAAACAAAGGTATTAGAAAAAAAATTTTTTAAAACAAGGAAAGTTTGATAGTTAATGGCTTAGATATTCATCGGGTAAGGATGGCTCAGCATGATAAAATAACACAAAATGTTGAAACAGAGATGAAATATAATCGGAATGATCGTGGAAATAAAAACAAACCGGTTGGGGGTACAAGATTTGAAGGGAAGATGGAAGGTGAAGCAGTTGGCTGTAAAAGAACAAGAGTAATGAGAAAGAGAAAAAATTTTAATACATTAAGACCATGGTAAAAGAAGAGGTTGTACCAGTCTCTTTTGTACACATAATTCTGGTTTTTCAAAATGTATGGCTATTGCCTCGGCAATGCAAAGAAGATGCAGTCTAATTGTCTTAGGAAGGCTTCTACTTACCTTGTAAATGACTTTGAACGCAGAGTCTGTCTTGATTGAGTGACCTGTGTTCACAAGGTGTTTGATTATAGAGCTTCTTATTGAGCCGCTGCCTCCTCTTCTTAGTCACGCCGGACAATGTTCTTGAATTCTTTTGGATAAAGTACGCATCGAACGACCTATATACCTAGCTCCACAAGAGCAAGTATATTGGTAAATGCACATTGAGTTGGTCAGATGCGATAATTTATCTTTCAGATTATTGGTGAACAGTGATCGGCTGGAGAATTATATTCGCAATGTTGCTGCGAAGAATGTTCTTTTTAAAGAATCCGAAATTCTCCTCTTTAAGATATAAGCGGCTCTATCACTTTTGAAGTCGATGTTCATGTATAAAATTTTCTTTTCTGCTGTAGTTGTTTGTGGTTTTGGCATTTTCGGCTTCATCTTCTTATCAATGAATCTAGAAGGATATCCGTTTCTGATAAGTATCTCTTTTAAAAGGCTCAATTCTTTCTCTACGACCTCGGGGCTACAGATTCTTCGTATTCTTGTGGCGAGAGTTACTATTAAGTTTCTTTTTCGTTTGATGGGAACCCAACTGTGGAAATTTGATAGTTGGCCGTTCCACATGGGTTTCCTGTAGATAGATCTTTTTAAATTACCATCTTGTTTTCTTGTCATATCTACATCAAGGAAGTGAATATTTTGTTTGCTTTCAACTTCAATTGTGAATTTTATTGATGGGTGACAATTATTAAATGTCTCTAGGAGATCCCTTAAGTTACTTTTGTTGTCACAAATGATAAAGATATCATCCACATATCTTTTATACAAGTGGAGGTTTTCTATAATTCTTTTGAGTTGGTTGTTTTCTAAACTGGCCATGAAGCAATCTGCCAGTAATGGACCAAGTGGGGCTCCCATTGCTATACCATCCTTCTGTCTATGAATTACATCGTTGAATGTGAACTGTACATCACAAGTACAACGTAGTAATAATTCCTTCAAATAAACCTCAGGTATCCCAATGTTTATCTCAGTATTGTTTATGTACTTACAGATAAAATTAATGGTCTCTGTGAGTGGAATATTAATGAATAATGATTCCACATCCGGAGATAGCATAATTTTGTCACTTACATTCACTTCTTTTATGTGCTCGATAAATTCAAAAGTATCACGTAGGGAATGTTTACAAATGAGTTTTCTAACGGGTTCTAAGAGATTCACCAACCACTTTGCTACAGGGTGGTAAAGGGATCGTGACATATCGAGAATTAGTCTAAGAGGTAGGCCAGGTTTGTGTATTTTTAGCAGACCATATAATCGCGGTATTATTGATGCTGTTGGTTTTATGTGCTCAAAGACCTGTTCGTTGATTAACTGCTCATTTTTCATTCTCTTAAGGACATCAATTAGTTTCTTTTCTATAATTTCAGTCTTGTTTTTCTCATTGATGGGTTTTGAGAATTTGGTGTCATCTGATAATAACGTTGTCATTTTTTCAACATAACTCTTGTGATCTAGCAGCACTAAACCAGCACATTTATCTGGACGTGTTATGGTCAAGTCTTTATTATTTCTAAGTCGTTTTATCTGATTTCTATGTTCTTTTGTTAATAGACTTTTGCCTGTTACTTTTGTGCTAATATATTGGTTGCAGCTGTCAAGAAGAGTAGATTTGAAACGTTGGAATTCTTGACCAGAGATTGGATTAAGACCATTTGTTTGTTTGTTTAAGTTTTCGAATTGAACATGTGTGTTGATTTTGTTAACTTTTTCATTTATGTCGCAGAATTTTATCCCCAAAGATAAGGCTTCTAACTGTACATTTGTCAACGATATTGAAGAATGATTAAACACATATCTCTCAGGGTTGTTAGGAAAGTTGTGCTGTGTTTCTGTAGTTTTTAAACTTTTAGTGAGGTCTGATATTAAGCTTTTTATGCCTTTGTTTATTTAACCTCACTGTCACCATGTATAACAGAAGTTTATTATCAGTATTATTATTATCAACCTGTAAAAATAAGTATATATATGTGCGATTGTACAGCTTTGAAAATGAATTCGCCGAAAAGAGAACTCTTCGCTGAACTAATCATTCTTTCTTATTTAAATAGAAATGGGTGTATTCGGTTTATTAAAAAATTTACTATTGTGTTTAGTGGAAATATTGTTTAGACAAGTT